ATATATATATATATATATATATATATTACAACTTTTATATTATAACTTTTAGTTTTGGTACTTTTTACTTTCTGTACTACAAAATATATTATTGAAATGTTTTAATAGTAAAAATGTTTAAGTTAACAACAGCACTGCCTGTTAGGTCTGCAAGTCAGAAGTCTTAATATGATTTCAGACATTTATTGTCAAATTCTTCCAAGATCCATTTTTTTTTAAAGCATTAATTTAAACATTTGTTTGGGTATGTACATGACAGTGACACATAAATTGATGTCGTTGGAAATGTTTAAAAATATTTATTACAGCAACAGTATGGGTGACTCAAAGCACAGATTCAGAACATAATAGCCTGCATTTCATGTTAATTTCAGTTATGCCTGGCGGACCACTGAATGGAACGAATGTCGTGTTGATGCACTGCTCAGCCAGCAGGACCGGCGGCGTGGGAATCAGACGGGTTTGTGTGGTGGAGGTGTGCAGAGCAGAGAAGTGTACTGCTTCCAGGCCAATGCAGAACTTCTCAGCTACATCTATAACAACAAAGACAAACAAGGTACAGGTATCTGTTCAACAGTGTATAGTTAACAGAAGTATGGCATTTTTACCCACAGACATTCAATTCTAGACACACTTTTTTTTTATTGTTGTTGTTTAGCAAGTCACCTGAACAAAACCATGATTGGCTGATAGTACAACAAATATGTGTTCAGTCCCAAACCCTTCACTATAGTGACTATCCTGAGCTGTGATAAATTATTTATTTATTTATTTTTAAGAGTCCTCCAAATCTTTATAAGTTTCATATGATTCCATAAGAGAATGCTTATAGGTTTCATATGATGACAAAAGCAAATCTTTTTAAGTTCCATTTGGTTCCATAAGAGAATATTTTAAAAAGTTTAATTAATATATATTTCCTTTATTAGATGTATTTGATGCTTTAAGCAAATCTTTGAATCATATGATTTCATAACAGAATCTTTATAACAGAGTTTCATATGATGCCGTAAGTGAATCTTAATAAGTTTCATACAATTCCATAAGTGAATTGTATAAGTTCCAGTTGATTCAATAAGATAATCTTTATAAGTTTCATATGATGCCATAATCAAATCTTTATAAGTTCCATTTGATTCCATAAACAAATCTTTATCATTTTCATTTGATACCATTTGATACCACAGAATCTTTGTTTCTTAAGATGCAATAATCCAATCTTTATATGTCTCATAGGACTCCATAAGAGAATCTTTTAGTTTAATATAATGTCATTGAAGAGTCACTGAGTTCCATATGATGCTGATATTGAAAACAGTTCTTTATGAGAAAAAGAAACATCGAATCAATTATTGATTTATTTATTTATTGCAAAACATCTACTATTATAACATAACATTTTGTGATTTATAAGTTGCTTTGCAAAAAAAAAAATCTCAGAACAATGTAAATCCTAGAATACATGGATCTCTCCCTCATGCTTTTCCTCTTTCCCTGCTTTCTCTGTCCACCACCCACGTGCATGTGTGTGTGTGTGTGTGTGTGTAAATCTCTTACTCTGCTGTATATATTGCATCAGCATTTCTTTGCATGCTTCACACACACACCATCACTCGATTAATGGCCCACCCATCTTCATGGAAAATACCTTTTTTTTAAATCTCTCTCTCCCTCCTGCTCGCTCTTTTGATGCTCAGAACTGTATGGTGAGCACTTTGAAACTTATCGTAACGCACATGTCTCCGTACATTAGAGCAGATGAGCGCTGACTGCATGAAAAGCTCCGGTTAAAGAAGTGCTATTAGAACAGACCACTGGTGGAGCTGCGTATGCTGGGAAATCTGTGTCCTTATCAGCGCGGTGCAGGAGACGCCTCGCTTCACTGGGGGGTAATCTGCTCCGCTGACAGCAGATACATGAACGCAGACGGTGCAGAAAGTTAAAGGGAAAATGTGCTGGAGCGTTAGTCAACTGATGGCAGTCGTGATGTTCTCACCCTGGGAGGATGTTGTCAGCTTCAAGATTCTTTGATGTGATGAAACCTTCATCAAATCTATCTGGAAGTGATGCTCATTTACATTTCCTTCTAAGAACACAACACTGCACTCACAGCACAAACAGAACGATATTTCCCACAGGTGGCTTCACTGTCTTAAAATCAAGTGTTTCCAAAAGGATTTTAAAGCCTGATGACATAGGAGAAATTCCAATTTGATTTCATAAAGGAATCTTTATGAAAATTTCATACGTTGCCATAAGCAAATCTTAATGTTCCATTGGTTCCAAAATAATCTTCATAGGATTCCTATGATGCTATAAGTGAATCTTTATAATTTCCATTTGATTACATAAGTGAATCTTTAAAATTTCCGTTTGATTATATGAGAATATTTATAATTTCCCTTTGATTGCATAAAATACTATATAGAATATTTATAATTTCCCTTTGATTGCATAAAATACTATTTATAAGTTTCATGTGATGCCATAAGGAAATCTATATAATTTCCATTTGATTCCATAAGATAATCTTTTTTTTTTCATGTGAAGCCAAAAGTGAATCTTTATAATTTCCATTAGATTCAATAAGAAAATCTTTGTTTCATATGATGCCATAAGTGAATCTTTATAAGTTCAATTTGAATCCATAATAAAATCATTATGCGTTCAATTTGAGTTCCATTTTATTACTGTATATAAAATAATTTTTATATGTCTTATACCAAGTCATAAGCGATAATTTATAATTTCCATTAGATTCCATCGAGAATCTTTGTAAGTTCCACATGATTCTATAATCTATATATCTTTATACTGTAAATTTCATATGACTCCATAAGTAAATCTTTATGAGTTCCATTTGATTTCATAAGAGACTCTTTCATATGATGCCTTAAGCATTTTTTTATTATTATTATTATCATTTTCATTTGAGTCCGTAGGAGAATCTTTATAAGTTTAATATGACGCCATAAGGGAATCTTTAAAAGTTCAAATTGATTTAATAGAATCTTTGTAAGTTCCATATGATTCCATAAGTAAATCTTCACAAGTTCCATTTGATTCCATAAGAGAATCATTTCAAAGTCCATGTGATGCTGTAAGATAATTTCTTATTTAATATCATGCCATAGGAGTATCCTTGAGTTCCATATGATGCAGAAAATCAAAATGATTCTTGATGAGAAGAGAGTTCATTGCTGAAGTGCTGCAAAAATCCATTGAAGACGCTTGATTTTGAGAGTGTAGGAGGAATCCTGCGGCTTTTGACTGGCTGAGATCTGGGCACAAGTAAAAGCTAACCAGCTTATACCTCACATTATCACATTACTGTCTGAATGAAAGTCAACGGAGGCGATGAACGCTGAATAAACTGCCATGACATTCGATTGGACAGAGCTATATTTGGAGTCTACTATGGAAAAAAATAAATGCTTTATAGGGGAACCAAATGTGATTGATGTGATTCATTTATGGCATTACAAAGCAATGGGTTTGGCTGGTTATCATGAGCAGTTTGGCCCTGCTGGTCAATGACATAACCAGAGGTTGCATTAACTGAACATTTTTCTGTCACTTACCAAATTGTAAAAAACATTGACAGATAATTCAAAATGCTTTCTGTTGTTTTGACAGATATAAAAATAAGTTGTCTGTTCTATTGCATTTGGTGAAGAAAACTTGAGAAAATAAAATATGAAAGTAGACTGAGAGGTGTGAGTAAAGATTTAAATAGAGAAACAAGAGTTTTTCATATTTTACTGACAGGTAAGAGTAGAGCATGCAGGAAAATTTACAACCCAGTCCATCAGAATGAGAGAAAATGATTTTATTGTTTTTAAAATTGTGATTAAATGGATGTTATTTTATTGTATTTTCTGAAGGACTCTTAAAAGGTCAAATAGATATATTTTACCTTGCCTGCTGCTTTTGACGTCACAGCTCAGGATACTTAAAGCTAACCAGCTTATGCCTTAAAGCTGTAATATTTTGGAAGTAGTCACAGTATAGAGCTCATAGTGATAGTATTTGTATTTGTCCCTTGAGTGATGTTTATTAGCAGTAGTTTGTGTGTTTTGTAGAAGGTCAGTCTCCAAACAGCCAGATACCTAGTGTCCCTCCCCTCCTGTCTATCAGCTATGAGATCTCAGGTAAGATTTTTAACCCCCTAAAAAGGAATATTTTGGGTATTTTTCAACTGAATGTAAACACACCAGTATTGCTTTGAAAGTAAAACCAGCACTTTTATTTTATTATTTTATTTTATTTTTAAATGTATTATTTATTTTTACATTTATTATTTATTTTAATTTTTATATTTATTGTGTATTTTATTTAAGTTAATTTAATAATTGTAATTATATTTAATAATATATTTAATTGTTATATTAATTTTAATTCTATATTTTTAATTACATTTATTTTATCCTCTTTCCTTTCCTTTTTGTATGTGACATAATCATCTTTGTTTGATCAGATCTCTTTGCTTAAAGCATGTTTACATATTTTGTTTGCTTAGTCTGTTTACTCTCTGTATTTTTGTAAGTGTTTGTGTCCATGGAGAGCTCATTACAAGGGTACATACTGATGCAACACTCTGTGCTTAGTCAACACTCTCCTTTGGGCACCAGACAACTGACAGAGAATGATTGACAATGACAGTCATTCTGACAGCTCCTTACTGTACACTCTTCTTCAAAAGAAATAAAAAAAATGGTTTGTATTTGTTTCATTTGGGCCTTTTTTGGGGGGGAGTCGTGGCCTAATGGTTATAGAGTTGGACTCGTAACCCAAAGGTTGCGGGTTCGAGTCTCGTACCGGCAGGGATTGTAGATGGGGGGTTGTAAATGTACAGTGCTCTCTCCCACCTTCAACACCACGACTGAGGTGCCCTTGAGCAAGGCACCGAACCCCCAACTGCTCCCCGGGCGCCG